GAGTAGCTGGGACTACAGGCGCCCGCCACCACGCCCAGCTAATTTTTGTATTTTTAGTAGAGATGGGGTTTCACCATGTTGGCTAGGCTGGTCTCGAACTCCTGACTTCAGGTGATCCACTTGCCTTGGCCTCCCAAAGTGCTGGGATTACAGATGTGAGCCACTGTGCCCAGACCCTTTTTCTTTTTCTTTTGTTTAAATGGATGGGATCTTATGAAGTCCAAACTGAACTTGAACTCCTGGCCTCAAACAGTCCTCTTGCCTTAGCCTTCTGTGTAGCTAGGACTACAGGTGTGCACCACTGTGCCTAGTTTAAACATTTCTTTAAATGTTAGCTATAGCAAACCTTATAAATCAAGCCTACTTCAAATTACACAAACACAGATACAGATCCTACATGATAAAGTCAATAAATCTGTGGGGAGACTTTTTTTTTTTTAACAAGCAACTGACGATGAATGTGTAACTTCATTTACACACGAAGTTGTTGGACTGTGTTCTCATGCCTGATTTTGTATGGGCTGTTGCATTTATCCCTGGGGAACACGTTTAGCTGAAGTCACCAACACAGACGTACTCCACAGTAAGAAGACAAGTGTGGGACCATGGCTATGAAGGGTGCTTTCCACAGTCACATATGATAGGATAAAGTTAGTGTCTTTCAGGCTCTGCTATTTTGAATTCTGTGGATATCATAAAAGGACACTTGGCCATAGTGCTCCTCCGTCTTAGAAAATCTTTTTGACCCTGACAATGCACATCAGAATGCAGGGTTAAAATCAGATGTCGGCTGGGCGGGGTGGCTCACGCCTGTAATCCCAGCACTTTGGGAGGCTGAGGCAGGTGAATCACGTGAGGTCAGGAGTTTGAGAGAAGCCTGGCCAGCATGGTGAAACTCCCTCTCTACTAAAAATACAAAAATTAGCCGGGTGTGGTGGTGCATGCCTGCAATTCCAGCTACTCTGGAGGCTGAGGTGGGAGAATCGCTTGAACTCGGGAGGTGGAGGTTGCAGTGAGCCAAGATCGTACCACTGCACTCCAGCCTGGGAAACAGAGTGAGACTATGTCTCAGAAAAAGAAAAAAAAGCAGAGAAGTTTTAAAATGCTAAATATCAAGTTTTAGGTGCCACAGAATATGTTTAGTTTTACCTGACATGGTAAAGAATTAATCTTAGGTATCTGTAAAAAACAAACTCTAAATCCAAGGTCCTCTACTAAAAAGCAGCCAGTAAGAA